GTCCTAGGGGGTCCGGGGCATGCCCCCGCGAAATTGTTGTGTTCTAGACGCCCAAAAATACCATTTGATGTGCCTGGGCTATAATTTTTTTCTTTTTCTTTTTTTCCCCCTTTTTTTCTTTCTTTTTTCTTCCAAATGGAGGGGGCTGGGCCGGGCCCCCTCCCCCTAAATTCGCCCCTGACAGGAGTTTGAGTATGGAGGGCATATGACGTTTGACAGGTTCAGAAAGTGGAAAACAAATTTCAAAGATACCATAGTGTCTTTGGTGTGCATGAACCACCAGAATACAATGGAATTTTTAAAGAAATCATCACTGCGAAGGTGTCTGATCATCCTGTTCGCCAACATCTACCAGTCTGTGCACAAGGCTAACTTCGAAATGAAGGATATGTTTAATAATCATTTGTTTTTCTGTCCGCAAGATGGATTTATAAAGTCCTTACATAAGCTTCTGTACACTAGAAAATCAGATAGTTACAGGAACACTTGAATACAGACCTGAGAATCAGACACTGTTGGACAAAGCAGAATTAGGTTATGCTAAAAGGCTTTCAACTGACACTTGCATATTACCATGGTAGCATTTTTATCTTCTAATGTCTAATCTGATTGTTGTATTCATATTATCTAAACCATCAGAATATCTAAGCAAAAGATGTAAAGCTATTAGAGAAGTGTCAAGACACAGTAGTACACTGTAGGCTACTAAACTGTTGACGAGTCAGATGAAGATATTCTTGCCGAAGAGGAATCGCAATAGACAACCTCCAAATGTCCACGAAACAGTTGATCTTTAACATCAAATTGTATATGGCAAAATTACCTTTTCATGGTGAATTCAACAATTAAATTGAGACTTCCTAAGTTGAAAATCATAATATGTCGTTGAAAGGGAATTTATCATTGATTGCTTTTGTCAGAGTGGTGAATTTGTTTGTTTGTTTGTTTTTTTTTTAATGAAATAACGCTGCTTTTTCTGGCAATACAGTAACGCATATTAATAAACATTACAATACATTCCTTAGCATGTTGTTAAACTAGTCAGGTAAACTATATTTTTTATGGTTAATGAATTAGATGATAAAAAGGTGTATAATTATGTTAATTTTCAATAAAAACAATGCTGTTTTCTGGCAATACAGTACAAAATTAAGTTTTAAATTACTTGAAATGAGCCTGGCAACACATTTCTTAACATGTTGTTAGACTATTTATGTAACTATAGTAACATTATATTGAAATAAATTTACGTTTATTTATCCATTCAGTAAAAATGATATATTTTTATTCAAAAAATGACGTTTTTTCTGGCAATACCGCATCCACGTGTGTAAATCACCCACAATTTTTTTCTTGATTATTAATTGGACAACTATTGACTATCAAAATATGGAAGATGGTGGATATTTATGCACCACTTTGGAAGTTACAGATAGGTTTCTGAGGCATACATTTTTTTAAAATATATTTTGAGAAACCTTGTTTTGTAAATAATGGTATCTTCCAAACAGAATTTTTTACACAATTTTTTTTGCGATAAATGGAAGTTAATACATGGTTATTTACATGGATGATCACAAAAATATATAGTGCAAGTTGTTTTTAAATAAGGTCTGAAAGTCAGTGTTTTTTCACTTCTGAAAATGTCCAAAATTGACAAAAACGGTAAAATTTTGAAAATGGGTCGTTGCCATGACAACGAAGGCTAAAAAATAAACAAATGTCTTAGATATGCTTTTTACCCAAGTATCTATTCATTGTAAAAATTTGACATCTGCCACCAAATCTTTTTTTTTTTTGACAAATTATTTTTATGGACAACCATTCTTAATATTAATTATTTGCACAAACACAAAAATACATGTATTTTCATACTTATCGTCACTTGTGAGTCCATTTACGCTTTTAGTCTATTGGTCACAAGGCTGTAGTAACATAGTGTGTGTTATATTACATTTATCCTAAATTAACTCGTTAGACCGTTCTTCGATATTGAGCAATAATTTATAATTTAATTGTAGAATTATTTTTACTTTTATGAACAGAAGTCTATTTTATGCATCTTAGCCTGAAAAACAAAACTGACTATAGCCTGTAGATAAACGTTGCATTTAAATTCATTTTCAGATGTTAGAGGTTGTAAGTAAACAATTTTATGTGACCAATGATTTTGATAATCAAGTTAATGTTTCTTTAAAATTTGAAACAATGATAAGGCAAACAGAAACACCTATTAACAAATTTCATTTTTAGCATCAAACAAAATAAATTCTTGCAAAACATGATCGCTGACATGGTCAATCATGATCAGTATTTTTGTAATAGAACATAGTTCGTTACATATTTAATATATTTATATTAAAGCGAGAAACGGCATGGATATATCAAGTATAACAGCATTGTTCGTGGTTATTGTTATCTTAATAATAACATGGTTGTACAAGAGCACGCGTCGACCGCCTGGATTTGCCGACTGGACCTGTCGCTTACCCAATCATAGGAAGCATGTCTGGTAAATATAATACATTTTGTTTCTGAATATTCTCTGCCCAATTATTGCTCTTCGTGATCAAAATATTATTGAAGACCTCTTATTGAAGAGTTGTGTTACACAATTCTTATTTATTTTACATCATTTACATACATTAAGTGTTTGCTGGAGAAACCCCACCTCAAGAAGTAATGAAGAAGATGTCAAAAATATATGGTGATATATTTTCTCTCAAGATTGGATCTTTCTGGGCTGTGGTTCTTAATAACTATGAGTTAGTACAGGAGGCACTGTTGACGAAACCAAACGATTTTAGTGGACGGCCGCCTTCATTTTTATGTAAGTTATATTCATTATAATAATAATAATAATAATGGTATATTACTTTCTATACAATCTTTAAATCCGAGCAGTTAACATAAAAATTAAAAGTAACTTTCCATTCAAAGATTAATTTTGGAATTAGGGGTTTTGTGATCTTTTGACTCTAATTTACTAAAACGTTTATCATAAAAATAGAATCGCTCACTTGGGGCCATTGAAAAGTGGTCTTAATGTGGAGGGGGTCTTTAATTAAGGATAGACGAGTTTCCGGTAGATATTATGTTTAAAGCCCTATACATGTCTCCCTGTATAATTAAGACCCCTCCAATTAAAGACCACTTTTCTGTGGTCCCATATTAGCAAATGTCTTTTATCTTAATTATTCTAATGAAAAACCCCAAAGCTGCTAACTGTGACCACGGAAACCCCTGTCCCAAAATGGCCTTTAATTGAAGGGGGACCTGTACCTTATACTAGGGGATGATAAATTTAGTACTTTTTTCTTGAACACCACAAAGTTTGTTAGTGAGATAATAATAATAATAATTGCTTCCTACAGGTTGATGATAGTGATAATTAAGTATATGATGCTACCATAATTATTATACATTTAGCTTTATAGTTTGTCTCTTTTTAAGATCTATTTAACAGAGCCTACATCAGCACACGACAGCTGGCATAAACCAGAACTTGGCCTACTCTCAATTATGGGCTACACAGAACGCTACGCGACAGAGCATATCTCGAGCTCAGCATAAGACTATTTTCCATTTCCAAAACATTTCGCGCGACAAGGAAAAATATTACATTATTTTTTTCCTGGTGATTACAGGCGGCATAGCAAACAGCGAACGACCGTTGTTTAGCGCTGTGTGGATACATTGCACTGCACGCCAATGTCTCCTTTCATTGCCGTGTGCAACTGTCGTACTCTGCATAAAAATGCCTCGTTTTTTTTGTTTTTTTCTTTTTACTTATCAACATGTAGTCGACTGGTTTACAGATGGTCAGAAGGATATCGCTGTTGCCAACCCTACTCCGATTTGGAAGTACCATCGAATGTTGGCCCATTCCGCAATCAGGCTAGTAATTCGTCATTAAAATGTGTTATATCATGTATATAATATACATATATATATAGGGCCTATATTATATATATATATATATTATATATATATATATATATATATAAAGTATATAACATATATTCAATTTAGGTTTTGCTGCGATTTTTGCTGAAGGGCCTGTCTCTTATACACATCTAGATGTGTATAAGAGACAGGATCTATACCTTCTGCCTATGAAATATCATTTATATCATAAACACTATCAAATATTAATTGTAAACCACATGTTACCGGTAACAATTAAGTAGAATTTATTATTTTTATTATAATAATCATAATAATAATGTTTTTTTTTTTTATTAATTTCGTCAACACAAATGACAAAGACACAAAACAACTTTGAATGCGCCATGGAGTGGCAAAAGAGGTCAGAGAACTTCTGTCGCCAAGAGGCGTGCCATTGCAACACTCAAAGCCAACAAAAAACATGCAATAAAATATAAAAATAAAAATGATAATTATAATAATTGATGGATTTATATAGCGAAAATAAACGAGGTCTCTGCGCTCACATGACATCACATCACATATGACACAACATGTTCCTATTCGAACACTGGTATTATTCCTTTACCTTGTTTATACGGACTTTAAACAGTGTATGATAATATAATCTTGCAATCGTATCAAAAATAGGTTTTCATGTAAGGATATAAAAATCATTAGCATGTAACATAATATAATTATTATAATTGCTCACTGTTCATGTCATCTTGTTAGAGAAACGCATTTAAAAATATAATAAAGTTGTGTTTGTTGATAACCATCATTTTTCTAATGGTAAATATATCAGAACCAGTCATGTATCTTTTTGTATAAACTTAATAATGTATTTTTGTAATTACAGAAAATTTGCGTCTGGGGAATATCTGGAAAAACTTCATGAAGAAATCAGACCACTTCTGACAGAAGTGATGTCTAAAAAGATGAAAACGACATTTGACCCCAACGAAATTATAACATTTGCCATTTACAACGTCATTGCTTCTATGTGCTTTGGATATAAGTATGTTGAATGATATCACTTTGAGAATAAATTGATTAATAAGCATTTGCTCTGAGGTTTACTACTTGTAAAAATATGATGAATAGGTTCGCTTATAACTGTGTTTGTAATCCCATCGTTTGCTCGCACTATTTGCAATATTAATAACGAACCGGTGGGGATTAACAATGCAATGAACAAATGTTTTTAACATCACATAAATAGAATCATTGGTTGGTTTTCATGGTTATCCCCAAAACTATATTCTCACACATGTTGTATTTATCTTATCTTATTGTTACTAGCCATGCAAACCTTCAAGATATATTTCATGTATTTCATTTGCATTTATAATCTTGATTTTTGAGTTTTCAACTTCAAGTATTTTACTTACCGAACGACGAATATAGTATAAGTCTTAGGTTGATTACTGAAGTTATTCATATTATTGCTGGCTTTAAATAAAACTGCAGACAGTAAAGAAGATCTACTGTATAATGAAAAATCCAAAGAGTACCCTTTAGCTTCCATTGATATTTTTGATTAATTAGTCAATATTTTGTTTGTGGTTCAGATATAAAATTGATGATCCAAGACTTGAGGACATTGCTGAAATTTCAAGAGAGCTTAATGAAGGATTTGGAAACGGGTGGATCGCTGACTTCATTCCGTGGTTTCGATATATTCCGAATCCTCATTTTTACAGTTTCAAAAAAGTTGCTTCTAAATTTTTCGCATACATCATGATTGAGGTTAGATCACATTTGGACAACTTTGACCCAGGTATTTGAACTATCAGTTGATAAACTGTTTTACTACTTTAAGAGGGGCATGTCAAATACAGGTATTAGTCTAAAATACATGTACAGTATTTAAATAATCAACAAGCAATGAACACTACTTCTATTATTAAGAATTATTAAGTTTGATTAGTTGTATTCTGCTTTGCCTCACCGACGCAAATGAATATTTCATAAACAAGAATATTTAGTATTAACAACATTATGTTCACATGTTTCTACTTTGAGTCTAACTCTTACCTTGCTGACTTTTATATGCAACCCATAACCTTGAAGGAAATCCATCAAAATTATTATTAATTTCACTATCTTAAAAAAGCTCTTTTCCTGGACTCACCAGGGTACCTAAGAGAGAATGGGCCTCTTGCTGTCATTGAACTATCTCCTCTCCCAAGCACCTCACCTTCTTGAGGAATCATGACCTTTGCCCTGCTAGTAATGCTTAATGTATTCCTAAATTCTCATTTCGTTTTTGTCTCCAGATCGTCCCGCCAACGATCTTATTGATCTTCTTCTAAAATCCCAGAAGGAAGAAGAGCTAAAGGGGAACGTTGATCAGGGTAGCAAACTAACCGATATTCATATCAAACAAATAATTGCGGATCTCTTTTCTGGTAAGACAAACTGTTCTCTTTGTATAAGCAACTATATATTGTTTGTTTGTTTGTTTATTTATTCAATTTTCCACACAAATCAAATCATTGAACATAAAATATAGGCAAAAGTACTTAAATAAGATTAAAATAAACATGTGTTTTTACAAATAATAATAAAATATTTCAAATGTAAGTACTTTTTTCTGGCCGGAAGTGCCATTTTCCGAATTATAATCCACATACAGCACCAGATTATACGACGAGTCTGAAACATCGCTGATAACGAATTAAAAAATAATGATTTAACTGGCACAATATTGTATGCATTTTTCCCCTTTCACCAGAGAGAATACGTACCCATAACATGATACACACAACCAATAACATTCAGTACCACAATTCCCATTTGTCTCTGGGCATCCCCCTCCCCCAGTCGGCAAGGCCTACCTCCCACCCCTGGTTCATGGAAATAATAAAATTTGTCATGGAATTGTTTCATATAAAAATAATAAAATTTTGTGATAATAATGAGATTCTTTATTCAAAACGGATACTTTGATAGAAAACCATGAAAGTTAGGAGAGTCCCCCTGTCGGGGGTACTAACCCTCTGTCGGAGGTACCAGCCCCTGTCTCGGAAGAGCTGGCTCCACCACTACAACCCATACGATCGCAATAGTATACAACACCTCGCACATACAGTAGCGCTATTCGCACAAAACAGTTTTTGATACCTAAAATTTGACAGCCTAGTAAGGCATGCTTGAATTCTACTTTCGGCGCTCGAGATTTGATTTTCAAAGATAGGGGGTTCAAGTGGGGGTCCGGAGGTTCTCGACAGATGGGGGTGGGAGTGGTGGGGTGACCCCAGCTAACGCCGCACCTGCTTCTGGGTAAGTCCAGGTATAGTTCTTTGCCCATTTCAGAGGTGGCACCAGCGGGGGGCCGGGGACCGGGTCCCCGTCTGGGAAAGCCTTTCAAACACATAAATTGTCATAATTTTCGGGGGCTTCGCCCCCAGGGGCATTTGCGGAGCATTTTAAGCGAAGCATGACCACGCCTCCTTTGCTCTCGTCTGGAAATCTTCCTCCTTGTCGGGGCATCCCCACCCCCATCGGGGACCTCGGACCCCGTCGGGCCGAATGCTGGCGCCATCTCTGTAAACATTCACAAGTTCAAAACCCGCACCCAAACTGATAGCCTAAACCGCAGTTGCCGTTTTAAACTCCAAAATGTGATTGTGTTAACAAAGTTATGGAATATAGTCCAGTTATTTATTGTTTTAACAGGCGGTATTGATACTCAAAACATAACTCTACTATGGGCCATTGCGTGTGTGGTTGATAACCAGGATGTGCAGGAAAAAGTCAAGAAAGAAATTGATGACCTTATTGGCGACAGACCTCCCAGACTAAGTGACCGTGGAAAGTTGCCGTATACAGAGGCTACAATCATGGAGATAATGCGATATAAGTCTACGAAACCACTTACAGTTACTCACAGAGCAATGAAAGACTCGAAAATCGGTATGGTAGAAAGACGCATAATCAAAAATATAGAAAACAAGAGAACTCTCCACATAAAAAATAAACTGTAACACCGAAATACATGGTATTTACAAAAAAAAAAAAAAAAAAAAGAGGGTGCCGCGTACCTCGGGATATTTAGAAAACTACATACGGTAACCTTTGGCGGAGGTATAAATCATTGCCATTGTCCATAAATAAGACACAAATAAGATACAAACAAGTTAGCACAAATAAATTACAAAACAATTAGGCCTAGATCAAAAGAATAAAATGTCAAGAGAGAAAAGCGTAGAATTTGATGACGGTGTTCCGAATAGTGATAGATTTTTCATCATTAGAGCAAATAGAAGGGTGCCGCGTAGATCGATCAGGATATGCATAAAATCTATGACGTACATCCGCATCACTTTTGCTATGCGACAGTTCTATCTTGTGTTTCCAGTGGCGGATCCAGGAACTTGAAATAGAGGGGGCCCAGATAGAGGGACTTTGACAGATGGTGGGTCTATCACCTCAGCCCCCACCATGGTTGAGGCTGAGGTAACAAAATCTATTATTATGACGGAAATGGCACTCAGACTCAAAATTAGAGTAGAATTTTCTTTTTTATTTTAGCCATTTTTGTAATTGTCTCAGAGTTTCGATGAGATTACTCTTAGCAAGCTCTGATCTCATTAAGAGTATTGTTAATACTAGGCCAAAATCGATCTATCATATAGGCCTATGAGAAGTGGTTCTGGAGTCAATTGATGGTTAGAAACACGATGTTAACCAAATGCTAAAAATAATTTTATCTCAAAGTATTACACAGGTCTGCTTCGTGATTTAATATCGATGGCGAATTGTTTGAATATACAATGAAGACGAGAAAATGCATCTATAGAGCTGTATTAATTGTAATATGTATTATTGTATATATTTGCTTTTTAGGCACCTATAATGTACCTGAAGACACGTGGGTCTTTATTAATCTCTGGGCGCTTCATAATGACTCAAAATATTGGAACTCCCCCGAGAAATTCAAACCCGGTAAGTTGCACCTACGTGTGTCTAGGTGATAGCAACATCGTACTTTAATAACATATTATATTGTATCAACTGATTATTTAAAAAATGAAAAGACTATACTTTAAATGAGAGAGGCAATATGTTTAATGATTTTATATTTCATTCTTTTGGCGGAAATAATATAAATATATTATACAACAATCGCCTATTAAAAAGGTTTTTTTTTTTAATAATATTGCACAATAAGATGATTATTATTAAGTAGAATATTATATTAATTTAATGAAAAATCAGTTATTAGAGCTACTAAACTTTAATTTGTATTTATTAAGAACATTAAGCATGTACTCTGTATCTAAAATTGCATTGGGAACTTTAATAATGACTTTCTGATTAAATTTACATTACACTTAATTTTTTATTTTCAGATCGATTTTTGGATTCATCCAACTCTGTTAAACAACGTCTTCCGAGCTTCCTGCCGTTCTCCACTGGTCGCAGAGTGTGTGTTGGAGAATCTTTAGCTAAAGCTAACCTTTTCCTTACATTTGTGTGGTTGATTCAGAATTATAAATTCACTAAACCACCAGGTGTAAGGGGACCAGTAACTACCGAGGGAAAGCCCCAGCTTATATCATTCCCAATGCCCTACAAAATCAGGGCTGAACGTTGGGAGTAGAGCAGTGATTTATTTTAAGTCATCTAAATGAGTCATAGCAGAGCCAGAAACACGCGCATGTCCCAAACATGCACGTTTACGTATGTTTACAGTGGCGGATCTACGGGGGTTAGACGAACCCCCCTCTGTGAAGAAATGTAACAAAATACAAGGGTACTGGCTTACAAAAATCATGCTAACCTACCTAGGCATAGGTTGGAAGGTCAGACAAACTAGGCTTAGCCCAACTAGTTTTCAATTGAATAAATTATACACACTGTTTTTGGTTCGCTGTCGTAATAATGTACGAAAGTAAGTTATTCAGTCCTATCGGTTCATCAATCCATGGAAGAAAAACTACATATCTAACTACTCAATGTTGTTGGAATACAATAATATATTGCCTGTCTTAATTTTTCCTCTATGATAGGCCTAAAGAATAAGATAAAATTACCTCATTTAAGAGGGGAAAAACCTTGAATTTTAAAGAACACCGGCCATCTAGGAATCAAATTTCATTTTGGGGTTTTTTAGGAAACATTTGGTAAACGTCTGTTGATTCGTAATTCTGAATCTCCCTCTTTCAAATCCTGGATCCGCCCCTAGTTTACACCGTGAGTTTGTGGGACCTTAGTGGAACTTATCGGAACTGTTCAATTTACTTGTTGTTTTTGTTTTTGTTTTTTTGTTTTTTGCGATCCTCAATCACCACATAATTTAGACATTGATTGTTAACTGATAAAAACATACTTTTATAGTATTTTAATGTTTTAGTATGTTGAATAACAATTACAATAATTGATAAGATAACATTAGTCCGAATGTTGTGTTGTGTATTCAGAATGGGAAAATTGTATAACCCAATTGTGGAAAAGTAATACCAAGCTGTCCATTCTGCAAAATTTTAACTATAAAAAGCACTTTAGCTATTTAAAATAAAGGAATTTATAATAGGAACTTAGTAGAAGAGACATAAATTCACATTACTAGTATTTGTTTAGAAAAAAAAATTAATAAGCATACACCATTCCATTACATTTATTAAGAAATTGAAAGAGATTTATTTTAAGATAGACATATTATTTAATAATTGTTTACCCCGGAAGAAAAGTGTTGCAAATTTGTGTCCGATGGGCTCTGAACATCAAGACCACGATAGATATACTAAAAGTGGCCTGGAACTAAGGTTGGGGTACCGTTAGTCTTACGTTTAATCAGGCTGTCATTTGTGACCTCATGAGCCAAGTAATGGACCTATTCGGAGTGTCAATCAAACTTAACAAATCATAGCAGAGCCAGAAACAGGCGCATGTCCCGTGTTTACGTATGTTTACACCGTGGTTTTGGTGGATCTAGTAAACTTATCAGAACCGTTCAATTTACGTAATACTTTTCTTGCGATCCTCAATCACCACATAATTCAGACATTTATTGTTCACTGATGAAAATATACTTTTATAGTATTTTAAATGTTTATTTAGCATTTTGAATAACAATTACAATAATTAATAAGTATACACCAGTCTATTACATTAATTAAGAAATTGAAAGTTATCGGACTATTATACAGTACATAGTACAAATGATACTCATTTCCTAAGGGGAAGTATTCCGTCATGAAGTTAAACTTTAGTAATTTTTGCACAGAATGCCAACCTCTCTCATATTTTATTCTCATAAAAATTTTTTTTTTGCCATTGAGATTCTGGATTACCGTTTGGTTGTCAATTAAACTAAGAAAACAAAGGAGGTATACTTCCACAATCAGAACATTTTTTTTGAAGCATTACATAATACGCAGCATTATTAATATGCATCTTAAAAACAAAATTCATTACAGTTGTAATCACGACCACTCTATAGCATCAAACACATGTTGATCATCATCTTTACAACAGGAACGTAAACATCATCTCAGGCTTTCAACAGCATTAACATTTAATAAAAAATAATTGTTTTGGTTGGCCTTTTCTTTCACCACAAACCGCTGGGCTGCGTCTTACGACGCCATCTGAGTTGGTCTTAAGAGTTTATGGGAAACCATCTACTAGGAATAACTCCTGTCTCTTATACACATCTAGATGTGTATAAGAGACAGAGATTACTCTTAGCAAGCTCTGATCTCATTAAGAGTATTGTTAATACTAGGCCAAAATCGATCTATCATATAGGCCTATGAGAAGTGGTTCTGGAGTCAATTGATGGTTAGAAACACGATGTTAACCAAATGCTAAAAATAATTTTATCTCAAAGTATTACACAGGTCTGCTTCGTGATTTAATATCGATGGCGAATTGTTTGAATATACAATGAAGACGAGAAAATGCATCTATAGAGCTGTATTAATTGTAATATGTATTATTGTATATATTTGCTTTTTAGGCACCTATAATGTACCTGAAGACACGTGGGTCTTTATTAATCTCTGGGCGCTTCATAAT